TACCTCTGAAAGGTGCTGTCAGCAGCAGTTGTCTCCTCTGTAGCATATTGCTCTGAGTTTTTAGCAGCTTTGCCCCACTGTGGACCTCTGATAGCCCTACCAGCCTGGTTGGGGTGTGGGTGCTGTTCACCTCATGGGCTGCAGCCATGTTGGGAGGGTGAGAAGCATATGCTGCTCTGAGACTTGTGCCTGCCTCTTCCAGCTGCTGCTGAATGCCTCACCATAAGGACCTGTGCTTCAGACTGGGAAAGGGGTCTAGGTGTTGCCTTTAAAAATAAGATCTCTAGTGGGTTCCCTGACCCTGCTCCCATGAGTAACTTGTTCTTATTCTGCCTTGCTCCCAGGCACAGTTTGTGATTGTCTCCATCCACATCTCCCAGTATTACTTCATGCCCAACTGCCAATACCAGTTCCCCATCTTCATTCACCTTATCTGGATTTATGGGACCATCTTCTTCATCCTCTTCTCCAACTTTTGGTACCAGTCCTACACCAAGGGCAAACGGTTGCCCAGGGTGGCTCAACAAGAAGCCCAGCACAACGGTAGCAGCATCCATGAAAATGGCACTGTCACCAATGGCAAGGTCAAAGCCAACTAGAGGGTAAAGTGCTCCCAGAGCCAATGAGAGCCCCGGGGCAGAGGCAGCTGGGACCTGTCCCTCTGCTCCTGGGTGCCACTAGCCAAGTCAAGTGCCTACAGACTGTTGTACCCCCGTGCCCAGTCCTGCTGTCCCCTGTCTGCATGCTCAGCCCCTCTGCTCTGAGCAGCCATGGGCCTCTTCTGCTTTGGGAGGGCTTGTGCTGTTTCTCAGTGTTGCTGAGCAGAGAGGCAACTGCCTGCATCACAGCTGTGGGGCTGCAGTCCCATTCCAGTGTTTCCAAAGGAACTTTCCCCAAGTGCCTACATCTGGCTCTTCTGCCTAGGGGCCATTTCCTTCTGAGTAGGACCAAAAGAAGAGACCGCTTCCTGTCCTGGTGCCCTCTCCTCTTCCCTGACTCACAAGAGCTTGTGTGGACGAGCAGATTCATCCCTGGCTGCTTGTTACTGCCAGCTCATGTGTGAGTGCTCCTGCTCTATGATGCCTTGTGCCACTTTGTTCTATGCCACAGTGCTGCATGTCCCTTCTGGTCCCTGTGTGCCCAGCTTGGGAGTCCTGCCCTGGCATATCTGTGCCCAGGTGTCTGTGGAGAACGTAGGGGCAGTCTGGGACTTCAGGGCCCAGACCTGCCCAGTACGGTACCCATGCCTGTGCCTAGTACATAGCAGGGGCTGTGACAGCCTGAAAGGCTTCCCCCATGTGATAAGCCCAGGTTGCCTTGCTGTTCTTGTGCCTGGGCTGGGTGCTCAGTGTGTGCTCAAGCCACACTTACCTGATCCTCTAAGGCAGCTGGTGGCTTGCTCCAGAGTGGGGGAGACCAAGCTCAGCCTAGTCTTGGACCACTTCCATTCCTGTAAATTCAAGACTTGAGCAATAAGTGCCCCTAAAATCAGCTGCTGGGCTCTCCTGCTTGGGTCCAGCCCTGCTCTGGCCTAGCCTGAGCACAGTGGAGGCCGGTTTTAAGTGTGCTCGGCTGTGGTGCAAGAGTGAGCACCTCTTGCCTCTGTGGATCTGACTGGGCCTGTGTGAAGATGTGCTCTGCCCTTCAGCAGGGCAGTGCAGCTGCTCTTCCTGGCCTGGTGCCTGTCACCTGCTCTGATTGTAACCAAAACATGCTGATGGCCTCGAGGACGAGGTGAAGGAGCCAGGCCCTGTCAGATTGGGCTGCTCTTCTATGACAAATAAACAAACAGAAGGAGAAATGTCTCTGTCCTCTTGTTTTCTTGGCTCAATATGAGCAAAAGCTCTTCCAGGTGCTTGGTCCTGCCCAGTGTGGTTGAAGGCAGGGCTGGGAGAAGCAGCTGGTGTGGCAGGTTTGTGCTGGGGGGAAGAGGGTGATAGTTGTGTGCTGATGCAGCAGATGGCAGATTGTTTCAAAGTGTTTTGGTAGAGCAGTGCTCAGAGCTGGATGCGTGTCAAGGCTTCTGTTGTGAAAGTGACTCCACCCTATCAGAAAATGGCTGGGGTGGAGTGTGGGTGTGGGCTGGGCCCTGGGCCACCTGCCCAGGAAGAACTACTGCTTTTCAGAAATTATGGGCATTTGCGATATGGCAGAGCAGGGAATAGAGACTTTGGAAGCTTGAGTGCTTGAGAAACAGCAGTTTGTTGCTTATTACATCTGCCAAAGCAAAAACTGCTGCCATCTGTGAATGCCCCTGTAGCATGGATCTGTGCACACACAATGTAGCTCAGGTTGGTCAGAGGAAGGTTGATGTTGCTGTCTTGCTTTTGCTGCAGAAGTGCATCATTGCCTGGCTGGGCTTTGTTATCTTTCCAACTGTCTCATTCTGGTGCCCTTTCAGTGCTGTTGGGGTGTAGGGCTGCCTTCCCCATTACCTCATGAAGAGAGCCCTCTTGAGCAGAGGGCAGCCTGGGTGCTGACTCAAGCTTGGGAAGAGTAGGGAGCCAGCTGGGCAGCATGTGGCTGGGAGGAATGTGTTAGATCAGCAGCCTCCAGATGCTGAGTTTCACTGTAGGTTTGGTTGTGGTGTGGGAGTGCTTTGGTGGAGGTCCAGCCAAAGCACTGGAGCAGAGCTTAGTGTGAGAGAGCTCTGCTGGTCTGACCTGACTGCTGTATGCCTCAAGGCCATGCTCTGAAATGTAGGAAAGCATCTTCAAGTGACCTGAACTGCTGTGACTAAAATACCACACAGCCATCACCCTCTTCTACAGTGCTCAGTGTCCTTGTGTGCAAGAAGTCATAAAGTGGGATCTGGCTGCTGCACTGTGCAGTGTTCTCCAGTTGTTGATGCTTCTCTGGGAGTAAAGACTTGGATGAGAATTTGTTCTCGTCCATGCTGAAGTGGTGTGTAATGTTAGTTCAGTGCTCAGAAGTCTTCACTCCAGGAGCTGTAGGTGATGGTCCAGCTGACATGGACCTTTCCCTGTCAAGCCTCTTTTTCCCCTCCAGCTGGCTCTCGCCAAAGACAGGAGTGTCTTTGCTTTTGCCCAAAATAGCAACAATGCTTTAAACTACTTATGCTTGGTATTTTAGAATGGGCTGTTCCCTGCATGTGCTCTGCTCTCCCTTCCTCCAATTGTTCCTGTTAGCTGTGCTCTTCTATGGGCTGGCCATGGCACTTGGTAAATTAATATGCTGTCATGCTGTGAGCTGAATTCACACCTTATAGGGCTGTGTTTACTGGGCCTGCTGGATCAGTGCCCACTTCCTTCCTCTGCTCCTCCTCACTCCAGGACTGTAAGAGACCAGCATGGGGCCAAAGACCCTGCAATATCATTACGCTCTCGTAATGCCCAGAGGTTGTCTAAGGGCTATGTAATGCACAGCATCTGGGTGTGGGGCATGTGCTAAGGAGAAAGAAAGAGTCTGGGAGAGAAAGCTGAGCTGCTCTTACACAGGAGTGAAAAATTACAGCAACTTTTCAGCATATAAAGCTTTCCTTCCAGGTCAGGGACCAGGAAAGGCCTAATCAGTTGTGGGCCCAGGGGCAAGCCTGTGCTAACTCCCAGCACCAAAGTGCAGGGGTGTGGGGCAGGGCTCCTACAACAGCACAGCTCTGTGGGAGAGCCCAACCTTGCATGTGGGTTTCTGCCTGCTTCCACATTAGAGACAGCTGTGGCCCCAGGATTTGTCTGAAAAGGAAGAGCTCCTTTCTTGGACCTCCTATGATCTTTCCCAAGTGGCCAAATGGGGATGCACCAGCAGCACTGCTGGGAAGGTGCTGGGCTCAGTTGCTGTTTTTTGACTGCCCTCCATATCAGCTTTGGGTGGGGGGGTGCTCTGGTGGTTGTGGTCACACCCTCACTGCCCTTGGCAGAGCACAAGTTTGAACCTTTGAAGGTTCCAGCTGGCGTAAAGCTCAGGAGGCAGAGCTGGTGCTAGGTACAGTGTAGTACTGTGCTGAGGGAAAGGTGAAAACAGTTAATAATCCACCCTCAGCTAATCACTGAGGGCTGATGGGAGGCACAGGTTTGGTGGAGCTGCTTTGCACAGGCCAAGGTGCTTATCAGCTGTGCAGTGTCTCCAGGAACCCCTGGCAATGCTGGTGCAGCCCCATAACCTCAGACACTGTGGCTCCACCATGCAGAGCAGCATGGCTGAGCTGGCTGTTGGTCAGGTAAGGGCTCAAAAATGTTTTCTGCCACTTGCTCCAGCACAGTTCAATCTGGAAAAAAGGCATTTTTCCAAGTGTAGGGGAGTCAAGCTCCAATAAATGTCAGCTGAGCCCTGGTGCCTGCTCCCCTGCATCAAGCTTCAGCAAGGCCCCAGGGCTTCCTGGCAGCAGGAGGGGAAGACAGATCAGAGTTGTTGGAAGAATATGACTGAAAGCTGAGCACAGGGTTAGTGGTGCTTTGTGTGGCTCTTGCATGACATGCAGGCTGGCTGTGGCAGTGTAAACTAACCTTTTGTTTTGCATCAGGCTTGATGCCAGGGCCAGCCCCTTTCTAGCCTTTGGGGTGATTACAGCTGTTGCTGTATGTTTCCCCCCCCTTCTTTTTTTTCAATAGCAATTCAGTCTGCAAAAGTAGGTATTCTACTCCAGCACCATAAGCAGGCACTGATGGCTGCCTGGAGCTAACAAGACAAACTGAGGTCTGCCTGTAGAGCCATAGTACTTGCCCCTGTGGTGGTGAGACAGGACAGGACAACACAAACTGAGGCCACAGCCATGCTGTGCTTTCAGCTGAGCCTGTGGTGGAGCTGCTGTGCTTGTAGCCAACATCTAGATAGGGCAGGTGACATATGTATCTTAGCTGGGACAGAAACAGTAGTACAGCCCTTGCACTTGCACAGCATCCTTCTGCTAGGCTGTGCTAGGCTCAGGGTGCCTGTAAACTGGCCCTTAAGACTGAAGTCTGCCCCCCTTACCCAGATCCCCAGCCTCAGGGAGAAGGACTTGGGTTTGGGAGCCATGGCTTTTTCTTCCATTGGACTCCCTTAAGAAAAAGTCAAGTTAAGCAGTTTATTAACATTTAAAATACTGTACAGTGTGTAAACCAAATATCCCCCTCCCCACAAAAACCCAGTGCTCTCAGCGGATGCTCTGGTGAATAATACTGCTTTTGGCACTGTTTGCCTTCTCTTTCTCCTTCTTCTTTATTGGGTCCATCTCAAAACAGCGCCAGAGCCGCAGTGTTTCATCAGCAGCTGCTGAGGCCACTGTTGTACCATCAGGGCTCATGGTCAGGTTCAAGATTCTGGCAGTATGACCTGAGGAGGAGTGTGCAGATCAGCACATGCATATTTACTCCTGTATGCTCCCATGAGCCCTGCCAGCTTGCATAGCTGTCCCCTCCCCACTGGCTGTGGCAGCATGATTTCAGACCCCAGGAATACACTTGGAGCAATGGTATTTCTTCCACAGCCTGTGGGCATGCTTTACTCCTAGCAGCATGCCCCTGGATACTGTCCAGTATCAGTGATGCTACAGGCTCCAACCAAGGAGTGCAGCTGCCTTCAATCTCCAGCAACCCCCCCACCCAGGCCCTGTCCACCTACCTTGCAGCTCTGCAACCTTGGTCATTGTTGGATACTTCCATAGAACCAGCTGATTCTGTGCAAAGCCATGGCCTGAAATGAACTCCTTGTAGTTTGTTGACCACAGGATAGAACAGACCTGAAAAGAGGCAGTAACACAGGTAAGACAAGCTGCTTGTGTTGATGCTCACCACTCTGAGATGAGCATGATCCCCTCCTTCCCCATGCCTCTGGGCCTGAGGAGCCAGCAGCTCTGTGTAGGTGCTGCCAGAAGGCGTTTGTCCCAAGCTGATGTTCATATCTCACCTGGGAATGGGCATCAACAGCACTGAGGCAGGCACCAGAACACACGTTCCAGATGCGGATGTGTCTGTCACTAGTGCCACCTCCAGTGGCTAGAACGTTCATCTGCCATGGGCACCACGCCACAGCCTGAGAGACAAGAGTTCATTTTAAGACACACAAGAGGCAACCTGCACCCAGCCAGTGCTGCATGTCTGCCTTGCACACAGATACCTGTCCGTGGCAGCCCTGTGCTCACCTTGACAGCACCCTGGTGCTGAGTGAAGGTCTGTACAGGAGCAAAGTCTCCACCCCCTCCTTGGGTGCATGGCCAGACATTCACCAGATTGTCATTGCCACCGCTGGCCAGGTAGCGGCCATCTAGAGACCATTTGAGTCCGCACACCTCCTGTGTGTGGCCAGCAAGGGTGGCCACATGATGCTCAGCCACTCTGACATCGTGGTGATGGATGTGCCCGGTCCGTGCGCCACTGCAGAGAGAAGAGAAGGCTTGCAGGGTCAGACTGACACATTTCCACCCACATCCATTTTTGTTGTTGCAAGACTGTTATACCTGCCACTGGGTTTCAACCAGTGTTACCATCAACACTGGTCTGTTGGTATGAGTGAAACACCCACACAAGCTCTTAACTTCGGCACAAAGTGCAATACAGGAAAGAGGCCTTCTCCTCACAGTCCCAACAGATAAGGCTGAGTAAGAATCCCAAGCCAGCACAGAAACTTCTCTCTGCCATCCCTAACCCATACCACACATAGATTGAGGGATAGGAGTTTGCAACAACTGGGAACTGCTCTTGACACACTGCTTTACCTGGAGAGGATGTAGCTGTTCCAGCTGAGGGTTCCCACACGGGCACAATGGCTGGTCATGTTTCGGAGACGTTTCTGTTGCTGAATGTCCCATAGCTAGAGAGGCAAAGCAAAGAGTTATTCAGAAGAAACCCAGTCCTGTTTCTATGCCCTAAGAACCTCACTGCACAGGCTCTGGCATTCAGCTTTCTCAGTAAGGGAACAGAGAAAATGTGTATCTCATGACTATAGCACAAAAGGTAACACTACTTATCAGAAATCCCCCAAACCAAGCCCTGCCTTGCACACTGCACTTGGCTGGGGCAGTTCTACCCCACACCAGGGAAGACAAGTCAGCACGTGGCACTTTCCTCTGCCAGCCAAGGTTTTGTCCCCAGGTCCCAGTTATGTCAATCCATAGAAAACACCTCTAGTTTTTCTCCTGCATTCACCTGGACCTCTGCACTACTTGTGCCAACAGCAAGGTAGTTTCCTTCTTTAATCCATGACACAGAGGAAATGTAAACATCTGGTTGCTCCATCTGCAGCAGCTGGATAATCTCCCCAGAAGCGTGATTCCACAGATAAACAGAGTTGTCCAGAGCCACTGCCAGGAAGTTCTGGGAGCTCCAGTCTATGAGATTCAGATCTACGATTTGAAAGAGCAAGGCAGGTCAGACCATGCTTACCCAGAGAGCCCTGCCCTTCACCTGTGCTGATGCAGCAGCTGTGTGTGTGCACATGTGCACGCACACACGTACAGGTGAGGGGCAGCCTCCTGAGTGTCACCATGCCCAGCTGGTGGGGCCAGGTACCCTGCTCCAAGTCATCTACACAGCAACCCTAGACCACTGTTCCTGTAAGGCCTCACAGGACACTCCAGAAGTGGTCTGTGCTAGCCCTGGGTGCATAAAATAATACAAACAGCCCAGTTACACTGTCCTAGGAACAGCACTCCTGTGCAGAATGTTCTGGATGCCCAGCACTCAACTGCAGCCTACTTACAGTAGTCATTGCGGATCTCTGGTGCATCCAAGATCCGGTCTGGCATTGAGGGAATGTATCTGCTATTCTTCCTGCTGGATCCAGGCGTCATTTTCTGACTGTAGAGCACTTTCAGGTTGTTCTGATAGCCTGTGCGCAGAGGAACGGGCTTGTTAACATGAGTTAGTTTCCTCACAGCTAAGTGCTGCTCACCCAACTAGGAATACTTTGGAGTGAAAATAAAGTCCCAAGAGAAATACTCACAAGACTGCAGTGTGCTAAAATCACTGGCAGTATGAACTGCTGAAGGGGGGTGAGCTGCAATTTCCTTATTCATGAAAACAAATTTAACAAACACTTGGGTTTTTGTATCCTATTATGTTTAGTTACAGTTTAAGCTAGAAAGTGCTCAGCAGAGAATTTGATGCTCTTACAGACTTCATGAAGGTTTGCAACCTGCAGTACAGGTGAGCAGTGGCAGTCATAGCAACTTTACTAAATAGATTCACTGTTAGGCCCTCCCTCAACCTCAGGAACCTTAAGAAAGGAAACTCCAGCCTGTACAGCTCTCAGAAACCAGTTGATTTCTCCTGCGACCACACACAGAGCCTCTGTGTTGCTGTTCCCCTGACCAGATCTCTCCCACTGATTCAGCTCACACAGACCCTGTATCATTACCTTCTGGAGCATTCTGTGGTTTTCCACTGAGGCGGAGGATCTTTGCCTCTTCTACATCAAAACCATTCAGATTCACTGCCCAGGCTTTCTGTTGCTCCTATGGAGACAAATCACCCTCAGTGCAATGCATTTAAAACAACTCCCACACTGCAATGTAAACAGACACCTAAGTCCCCTTCTCTTAGAATCAGGAGTTGTTCAACTGTGCTTCCAGGGTCAGCCACACATAGGCAGGTCAAAGCAGTTTTTCCTTAGGCTTTCACACATTGTCCTGCTCACATTTTTATACAATAGCAAATTCAGTGTCATTACCAGTGGGAAAAGCCACAGCCACAAGCGACTAAATGCTTCATAAACAGATTTCAGAACACAGCGTAAAACATTCCAGAAGTGTTCCCTGTGTAGACATTGTCCTAGAATAGCTACCACCAGCAGTTTCACTTTGCACAGGCTCACAGCTTTGTGTTTTTGTTGCCTGCTACATTTTAAAGCCTCATTAGTCAAAAGGTAAATTTTGCTACCAGAAGCAGCATAGGCTAGAGTGCATGGCAGTCTCTACAGCTTCAATCTCATCCGAGGCTCCTGAAGCCCAGAGTTGCAAGTAGCAATGGCTGGGGCTTGTCAGTCCTGTGTGTCTACTCGATAGAACCTACAGTAAACCTACAGTTTACTCCTCTGTAAAGGGGCAGGAACGATTAGTGGTTGTTGGAAGTAATTGTAACTTAGCAACATGCTCACCTTCTTGGTAGGCGATTCCTCAGCAGGGTCATTCTCTTTGGTTAGGAGGAAATTTGCCATCTCCATCTGCATAGTACTGCGGTTGGGAATATAGCGATCCCCCCCAGCCTTTGTGGGGGTGCTTTGAATTTTGGATCCAGATTTTCCTGCATTTGCATACGAAAACATTGTCTTACAGCTATTTAATAGCTCGTATTAGAGCTTTCACAAGAGCAAACCCAGCACACTCCCACGTCACATCCACCAGACAAGTAGGACTCTGAGAGCTCATGCCACCCAGTCACAACTAACTTATATTTTCCCCTCTGCCACCAGGCTCTGGTTAGGAACTGTCTGGAGCAACACCTTGGGTCTAGTGCAACAATGCCAGAGTCCAGAGATAAGGGGAGGATACAAAAACTGCTGCAGGATGTAAAGCTGCCAGCTGACAGTCCCGCCCACACTTGTCCCAGCAAGGCTCAGCTGGGCGAGCAGCAGTTCGCCAGCCGCAGTGCTCAGAGCTCTGCCCCTCATGCTGGGAAGGAGGCGAGCGATCGCCAGGAGCCCAGCCCACCTCCTCCTGCCTGCCCAGCAAGCCGGCAGGGCAGCGTGGCAGGGAGAGCCACAGCTGAGCCCCACGGCTGCAGACAAGCAGCCCGGGCGAGGCTCCCGCACCCGACCTCTGCCGCTGGCGGCCGGCGCTCACCGGGTGTCTTGGACGGCGTCTTGCTGGAGCTGTGGGAGCGATTGGCCGGCTTCATGGGCGACACGCCGACGGGGCTGGGCCCGGGGCCGCTCTCCTTGGCCTTGCGCTGCCATCGCGCAGGCGGCGCGTTCGGGATCGGCGTGTCCAGCTTCAGCAGCCCGTGCAGGTCCGCCTCGAACAGGAACTGCGCCATGGTCCTGCGGGCGGGCGGGCGGCTTCAGCCGTGCCCACCGCCAGGGCTGCAGCCTGCTCCGACCGGCCCCGCCGGCCTCCCCAGCACCGCACCTTCCCAGCCCTCCGGCCGCTCCTCCCAGCACCGGACACCCCCGCTCTGCCCAACCGCTCCTCGGGACACTCTCCATCAGCCGACGCACCCTCCCTCCGCCCCGCGGGGTCCTTTCCATCGGCCGACACCCCTTCCAGCCGCTCTCTGGGGCTCCCTCCGATAGGCGACATTCTCCCTTCCCCTCGTCCGCCTCACCACCGCCTCCCCGCTCGAGACTGCGCCTCAGAGCTGCCTCCCCGGCCTGCCGGGCCCCGCCGCACGCTCACCTCCGCCGCGCCGCCGCCGCTCGCCCGCCCCGCCTGCGCCGCAGCATTTTAAACGGCGCGCGGACGGGGCTCCGGTTGGCCGCTTCAAACCCAACGGCCGCGCGCTGCCAGGCGACGGCCGCGCGACGCAACGCGATTGGCTGAGCCGCGGGGAGGGGCGGGGCGCTCCGCGCGTGCAGGGTAAGGGGCGGGCCCGGGGGCGGGGCGTTCCCCCGGGGCGGGGCGGCGAAGGAGGGAGCAGGCGGTGCTGGGCAGGGAGCAGAGTTTATGGCGGGGTGGGGGGGCCGGGGGGGGCCCCGGGGCCCCCGGGGCGCCGGGGGCTGCCCGCGGCTCCCAGCCGCTCATGAGCAGGTAGGACTGGTTGGCGATGTCGGTGCTGGACAGGCGGCCCCCAGCGTGCTCCGGCGGCGGGCCCGCCTCGCGCCGCGGGCCGGGCAGCACCTCCAGCAGGCAGGGCAGGACGGCCTCCTCCGGCGGCTGCTTGTCGAAGGCGCTGGCCTGGGGGGACACGGAGTGGACGCGGTGGGGGCTGCCCTTCGAGCTGCCCCCGGGGGCAGCTGAGCCGCCCTGCCCACCCCCTCACCTGGCCGTGCTTGCTGCTTTCCTGGAGGAAGCTGCCCAGAGCACGGTGCAGGTCAGGGACGGGCGGCCAGAGTTTCTGCTTCACGTTGCTGGGTACGGAGGAAGGGGCGCTGAAGGTACCCTCAGACTTGGGGTGCCCTAATGCCCCCTGCAAGGTGCCCAGGCTTGGTGCTGGAGCCCCGCCTGCCCCGGCACAGCCCTTTACCTGTAGAGGGAGGGGAAGGTGCACCGCAGCCCCAGGAGCACTGCTGAGAAGAGCAGCGGCACCACCGTGACGCTGGGGATGAGCCAGCCTGCATCGGGGGAGGAACGCTGCAGCTGTAGCCCTTCCCAGACCCACCCCCCGAGCCCTTCGCAGCACCCTGCCCGCTGCTCCCCGGCCCATTTCCAGCACTCTCCGTGTCCTGCCGTCAGCCGTGGGGCTCCTCTGGCCGCAGCCTCCAGCCCTGTCCCTTACCCGCATCAGCCACGGCATCAACCACAGCAGCTTTGGACCAGGCGCTCCAGCTGCCCTGGTACCACGGCCCGCTGGGCTGGGCCCGCACCTGGGCGTGGTAGCGGGACCCCGGCCGCAGGTCCAGGACTTCTTTCCTAGCTGCTCGTGGAACCTGCAGGACCTGCAGAGGGGCAGAGGCGAGCTGGAGGCACGGCTGCTGCGGGGCGGCACCAAGGGCCGGGTCCCCGTTTGCCTGGCCCCGTGTGTCAGCAGCAGAACGAGCAGCTGCTCGGGGTATCCTGGCCAGGCCTTACCTTCCAGTCATGGCTGTTCTCCGTGGCATAGCGGACCTGGTAGTGCAGCTGCTCTGCCAGCAGCTCCAGGGGCGGCAGCCACTGCAGGCTCAGCCGGCCCTGCGACACTGTTGCCTGCACAAGCTGCGGGGCATCTGTGAGCACTGTTGGTGTTGGGGACAGGCATGTGTCGCTCCTGTGAAATGGGACATGGGACACTGTGTCCCCTGTGAGCCAGGCAGGGGCTGTGGTGGCGCTGGGACTCACCAGCCTGGTGCAGCCAAAAGGGTTCCTTGAAGTAGCTGAGTGGGGGCAGCAAGTGGGTCCGGGTGACATTCACCAAGACGGAGATGGCACTGCCAGCCTTGGGCTGGAAGGTGCAGGCATGAGTGCCCTGTGCCCCCCTGCTCACCTCCTCGCACTGATGCCATGCATCTTCCCTGTGGGAGGAGTGGGAGCCAGTCAGTCCCAGCAAAGCATACCCACAGGCAGCACTCCTCCTGCATTTGCCCAGGAAAGCTGCTGCTGCTTGTGGTCAGAGGTGCAATGTGGCCAGGAGAGGTGGTGAGGAGGTATGAGACTGGTGGTGGCAGGACAGAGCAGGGCATGGGCAAGGGGCCCGGTGTGGGATATTGGCCGCAGCAGACCAGTGGTCCCTGGGGTGTGCCTGCCTGAGTGCCATATGCCTGCCATGCCCTTACCTTGTGCCAGCCCTGCTTGGAGGTGGCCGGTAGAAGAGCTGGTGGGAGCTGTGGGGCTCTGCAGGGTCCCAGCTCCACTCGCAGCGCACGTGCTGCAGGTCAGGGGTGCTGCAGCACAGCCCGATGTCTCCTGGGCAGGGGAGAGCCAGGGCAGGCAGGGGGCTGCTTCCCCTTGGCCCCCCAAAACTTGGGAGTTGCACCTTGCCTACAACAGGACCCCCACCCCCTGCAGTCCCTGGTGTGGGTGCCTCCCTGCTGTCCCTGCCAGCACCCCTGCGGAGGGGATGGCTGCTCACCAGAGGAGTGGGGTGTCTCAGCAGCCACTGCCTGTGACCAGGGCCCCCAGACGCCATCCATGGAGGTACCGTCGGGCTTGCTGCGCACCTGGATGTGGTACCTCACCCCTGGCTGCAGGTCCCGCAGCACCACCCAGGTGTTGGCCTGGACCAGCCTCTGTAGAGAGGGGCCAAGCTGAAGAGCAACTGCAGCCCCCACACCCCCTGCCCATCCCTGACCCCTCTGTGTACCTGCCCCAGTGCCGGGGAGGCTGCCCTGGGTGTGTGGGTGCTGACAGTTGACTGAGTGGAGGGGTCCCCAGGGTGCTGCTCACTGGGGTTCAGTGTGGTGTTGCAGGGCATCCCTGTGGAGCTGGCAGGGCACCACTGCACCTCGTAGAGGAAGAAGTTCGGGAAGTCAGCGAGTGGTGGCTGCCACGACACGCAGAGCTGCCCCACAGCCCCAGCCCAGCGGGCCGTGATGTTGTCTGGGGGAGCAATGAGACCTGCAGAGAACATGCCAGGGTGTTTGTGCTCCTGCAGCAGCCCCGGTCTGGTCTGGGCAATGTCCTGCTGCGGGACACATGGAAGTCTGTGCGTGCAGGGCTCGGGGTGTTGCCAGCCCCTGTGGCAGGCAGAAGGTCATGGGACCCAGATCTGGGAACCGTTCTGTTGTCACAGGGCATTGCCCAGTGGAAGGGACTCACCCACTGCCTCCACGTTGAGCTCCCGCCGATACTTGGTGCGGTTTGTGGTGGCATCCAGGACGTGGAGGTGGAGCTGGGTGAAGAGCCGCACGTCCTGGCTGGGGAAGACGCAGACGTGTCGCTTCCCGCCAGCCCCACGGTGCCATGTGGAGAGCACGCACGCTGTGGGCGCATCACTGAGGAACGGAGAGCCAGGCCTTGCAGCACCTCACACCTCCTGCCTTGGGCCAGGCTTGAGGAGAGGCAATGTGGGGCACAGCACCGAGACCTTGGTGTCACCAGCTCCTTTGCTGTGCCATAATCTACTGCAGGGCACCATCCTCATGGGACTGAGGGACAGCCAAGGCCCCAGCCCTGCTGCAGGGTGTGCAGTGGCTGCTCTATAGCTTCTGTGAGTCCTCCATCTCTCCTTGCAGCTGGGAGCCACTGGGATGCCCCAGATTGCTGTGCCACCCTGACACTGCAGCTCTCTGTGCAGCAAGGAGGAGGCTGGGCTGGGTCCCCACCATCTCCTACCTGCTGTACCAGTAGTAGAAGTGGCACATCCCAGTTGTTGTCTCCTCCTCGTCCCAGAAGCAGGTGAGGTCCTCGAAGGAGCGGGAGAAACAGAGGATGTCCTCGGACACAGCTGCTAGCAGTGCAGCATCTGGGAGGAGTGTGGCTATGAAGTAGCTTCTGGGCACAAACCCGTCCCCATCTCACCTCTTCCACCTCAGGCACGCGGGGCAGCCTGAGCATGGCCGTGGCACAGGTGCTCTCCACCAGCTTGGCACACTGGGGAGGGACATGGCACCAATGCTGGCTGCTGGCTTGGACTGGGGTCCTGGTGGTGCAGGGCTCCCCCCGGCCCCACCACGCCCCCTCCTGAGTACACGAGGTCCTTGAGGACAAACAAACATCCCGAAATAGCCCTGCGGTCAGAGGGGAGCTCAGGGCCCAGCGATCAGGGGGAAGCACCCCTGCCCTGCTCGTGCCGGAAGGTGCGCGGAAGTGAGATAAGGAGGAGCAGCACCCCAGAGAAAGGGAAAGGGCCTGGGGGCTGGTGTGGGGGCATGTGGTCCTGAGCAGGGGGGATGCCCAAACCCCTGCCCAGGGACTGTCCTGGGGGCATGTGTGTCCCCCTCGGTAAGGGACAAACTGGAGCATCACACCCTGCAGGATCTCTATCCGAAGCACTGCTAGCTCTGCGGACATAAGGGTGTCAGTCCCTGTTATCGTGGAAGAGGGGACGGCCCCAAGATGCAGATGTGTGATGCACAGGGGTGGTCCTGGTGTCCCCAGCATTGCTTCAGCAGTCTCTTCTCCCCGCACTCCCTCTGACCTGCTCCAGCCCTCTTCCTCCTCCTCTTCCTAGTGGCATTTGCTGCCTTCCCCAGGGGTTGCCCCCAGCTTTGGGACCCCACAAGCCCACTGCCAGTGTCTGCTGCATTTGCTGAGTGCATCCATTCTCTGCTACACACCCCTGCACTGCCAGTTGAGCCCACCCTGGGCAAAGAAAAAGTCACTGTTCCCAAGTATTCTTGCCAGCTTCTTGGTGTCTTTCTGCTCGCCCCGTCCCTTCTCTTGCCCTGACCCCCCCAGCCTTGTTCCTCATTTCCCAGCCCTGTGTTGCCTTCTTCCCCATGCCCATTGTCCCATCTCTCCACAGCCCCCCCACCCGTTCTTCTCTTTTTGCCCCCCATTACCCCACCCCAGGCCTCATGCTGGCTCCATGACCTCACCCAGCTCCGAGCACCAGGAGATGAAGTGGCCAGGTCCCAGCAGCTTGGTGGCACAGGGACCCGTGGCATCACTGGGAGGCCACCCTGGTCCTGTGGGCTATCATAGCATCTTTGCTGAGCACAGCCCATTTCTTAGGAAGGGCAGCTGCCCAGCTCTGCAGCCCACACCAGCCATGCTTGGGCAGTGCTGCCAAGCCAGCTGAGGGCTCAAGGCACAAGGATTTTGCAGAGGCTGTGGGCAGAGTCCAACCCTGACCCTCGTCCCACTGCCCCTATGGGGGTGACTCAAAATGTGCTAAGTCTGTCCTGGCCAGAGACCTGGGGTGGGGCTGGAGAAACAAGCAGGAGATCAACAGGGTTTTATTCAATTAATGCTTTTTATGATGTTACAGAAAGTTCTAAAGGGGCTAAAGAGGTGCTAAAGAATGCATGGAGAAGCCTAAAATGAGACAAAGCTGGGGAGTGGCTCTGGCAGGTGCAGGGAGCCAGACTGGGGCCAGCTATCAGCTAAGATGAGGATGTCCAGCAGGACAGTAAGATGATGGCAAGGCTGGTGCAGGAGCACTGGGGTTAGCCTGGAAGTGCCACTGCACTGCCTGTGGTGCAGAGCTGTGCCATCAGATGTTAACTTGAGTCTTGTTCAAACTCTCATCATGTCATAACTCTGAGAATTTCTCATGAGTGAGGAATCCCTCTGCTACCTGAGCAGGACTGGGAGCACCAGGCTGCCATCCTCAGGGGCAACCCATGGGCAGCCAAGCTCTGCTTGCAGAGAGCATGGATGTTCCTTTACTCCAAGCAATTTAGGGTGTCCTACAGGTGAGAAGTGCACTCCATTGCTCCCCCTGAATACTCCCTGCACACCCTCCTGGAATGCCTCCTTCCCAGTCCCACAGATTTTGGCTGCTGTGAGGTACTCGCTGCCCACACCTGGCATTCTAGCTCCTCTCTGGCCCATCCTCTGCGGGAGAAAATAGCCCCAAGGACCTACCTTGGGATGTCACTGGCTCAGGGGCTGACGGTGGGCTGCGGAGGCTGAGCAGGATGGCAGGGAGCAGTGAGAGCTGCCAGCCCTGGCACAGGCAGGCTGCCATCCTGCAGCCTGTGTGCCGGAGCCACACGTGCCGCACTCGTCCCTTCCCAGTGTCCCGGGAGCTGCTGCGGCTCCTCCAGGCGATACCTTTATCTGGGAAGTGGTGGCTGTGCAGCTCAGGAAGCCTGGCTGGGGGCTCCCCCCGCCCCATCACCAGCACTTCCCTGTGCCTGAAACCACAATGCCACAGCCCCTCTGCTGCTGGCCGCAGTGCCAAGAGAGACTGCTCCTATCAGATAGGCGGCATGTCCTGCCCTTGTGGCTACTGGCATGCTGGGAGGATGGGGTAGGAAGAAAAACAACCCCCGAGAAACTAGGGAGGCCCCGGTGTGGGGCAGGGCAGGCTGTTGGGGCTGCTGCCACATGGAGCATGGGATATGGCACAGCTGATGTGCCTGCATTGTGTCCTGTGCCGCCTGGCACTAGAGTACTCCAGGTCTGCTCTGCCAGCAGCACCCTCTCTGTGGCCGTGCTGGGAGCAGAGCTGCAGGCACAGGGGGCGAAGCCCTCAGAGGTGCTAGTGGTGTTGGTGCAGGGCCACCACAGTCATGCTCAAGCTCATGCCAGTCCATTACTTCTGGTGCTGGAGGGTCTCCCACCCTGCCAGGGCACAGCACTGTTGCACAGCCCGGGGGGCACCAGCCAGGGCACAAGGAGCCACTTGCACGTGTGACCCCTGTGCACCAAGGCCAGGTTTGCTTCTTCAAGTCCAGCAGCTGAGGACAGCACTAGAGGCACTGAGGGGAGAGCAGTGCCAGCTCCAGCTTGCCACAGACAAATTTTGTCAAAAAAAGCAGAAAGACTGAGGCATGAGCCGGACTGGGGACACTGCCCCAGACGCTGTTCCCAGCTGGGAGCAGAGGCGGTGCAGAAGCAGTGGCACATGTCAGGCTGTTTGTGAGGGCCAGTCCCCATCACTGATTTGCTGGGGACCTCAGGGATGGGGCAGAGCGGCTGCTCACTAACAGCTGCAGTTGACACCAAAGAGCACTGGAGACCAGAATGGAAAATCAGAATGGTTTTGACACGGTTCAGAGATAAAAAATGCTTGCCCAGAAGGACAATGCAAATGTCCCTGTCTCCTACAGGGATACCAGGCTCTGCAGGAGCCACTCTTGCTTCTCGTGGGACTGCAGAAGACAGATAGACAGACAGCTGGATGGCATGTCCAGGGCTGAGCAAGCTGAAACCAGCAGAGGGGAAACCGAAACCCAACCCCTCTCAGGGTAACAAACAGCAGCAGTGCAGCTGAGGGACTGAAGCCTGGGACAGGAGCTCCTCCAGGAGGGTCAGTGCAGAGCCCGGGAGACCCTCGAGGGACGGGCACATGAGGCTCACCCTGGCAGCACATGTTCGAGCAGGCTGGGCAAACACAGCCATCACTCTGCCTGATGTGGGAAGCTACCTGATGGCTCAGCACAGTGCTGGGAGGTGTCAGCTGGCCAGGGTGGGAAGGGTGTGGAGTTGCACAGCTCCACAGGATCCAGCTGGAAGAGCAGGGCCATCCCTTTAAAGACCAGCCAGCTGAGGGGAAGCTGCAGGAACAATTTTTAAGCATGCAAGAGGCAGCTGTGCATAGGAAGGACATAGTCTGTTCTCCATATCCCTTTGGGGACAAGACCAAGTGTTAAATTTTGTGTGTGGGAAAAGATCCCAGTTGGATCCTAAGAAAACCCATCTCCATGCCATGATGAGACCCGGGACTTGCCTGGGAATGCTGGGACATTCCTGGGGATTATCACAGGACCCCAATGGGAACAGGATTCTGAGGAGTGCCCACCACAGCAGCAGATCACTGGGCCCCCACATGCTGTTCCCCAGTGTTGTCAGCAGGGCAGAGGTGGGTCCCCACCAACACTCCTCTGGACCCAGCTGTTGCATGATCTTTATTGTCCATAAGGCAGAGCTGACATCTCTGAAGGGTCACTGCAGAGCTGGAGGCTGTGCACAGCCAACACTGTCCTTTTGTGCCCGCCAGGGTGGCCCCATGCCATGCCAGCAGCGCTGCTCACAACCCCTACCACCACTTCAGAGCGTGCTGAGGGCTGCAGCTGTGTTGCTGCTTCCTCCTCTCACCCCAAAGCTTGAGCATGTGTGTCCATGGGCTTAGGCAGTACCCTGGCTCCTGAGGGAGACCCTCTCCTGGCTGCTCTTCTGCCAGCACTCTGCTGCTGCTTGTCCTTGGGGGCCACCCCAGCCTGTCCCAAGAGTGTGGGGCTGTTAGTGGCTGGCACCACACCAGGGAGGGGAGGACACAGTCCTGCTGCAGGGAAGGCACTCTTGTGAGGGGGCACTGCCATTTGTCTGCTTGGCCCTGGAGCGATGAGCAGCTCCTTGTCCCCACAGCACTGTTCCAGCAGGCTGGGGCCAGCACAGCCTCACGCCTCCTCGGCGGTGGCATCAATCCCCGCGTAGGTGAAGTTCTCGAACAGGGCCATGTTCACGTAGGCCTGTGGGGGAACCCCAGTTAGGAGCCAGTTGTGAGCATGTCCACATCTACCTCCCGTCCCCACTAGCATGCTCACAAGCACTGTTGTCTCCCTGCACCCCAAAAGTGATGGTGGGGTTGACCCCCACACATGGTTCTGCTGTTGGCTGGTCCTCAAGGCCAAGGGATGCCCAAGCACGTGGAAAAGCCCTGTGCCCTGTGGGCATCCCTCCCACTGAGCCGCTAGCACTCACCTTCCTGGCCTCCAGCATGCGGATGAGCTGCATGGAGATCTGGGCGAAGGGCGGGCGCTCGTAGGGGCGGTCGCGCCAGCACTGCCGCATCAGCTCGTACCTGGGGGCAGAGAGGGGTGGGCGGCTCAGTGCACACAGGAGGAGAGGGGACAGAAAAGCTCCTTGTGGGAGATGGGGGAAGCAGGCAGGAAACTAAAGCCCAGGAAAGGTGTTTGGGTGTGGGACCCCAGCCCATCCCTCCGCCACAATACAGAGGCAACCAGGCAGAAGCTGCTGAAAGTTGGTGCGAGCCCTGTGGGGCAGTGGGGTTACGTGGGTGCCACCACCAGCCCAGGCTCTGTCCACTTACACCTCGTCGTCGCAGTTACGCGGCTTCTCCATGCGGTATCCCTGGGGCAGCTTCTCATAGAGCTCGGCACACGTCATCCCGCAGTACGGTGTCCCCCCTACGGCCAGAGACATTCAGGAGCTGAGGAGGTGACAGTCCCTAGGGTGTTCCCCCCAGGGCCCCAGGATAACCAGACCTACAGGGACCTGAGTGAAGGCAGGGGACAGGGAAGAGCCTTACCCAAGCTGACAATCTCCCAGAGCAGGACACCAAATGACCACCTGAAAGGGGAGGAGAGGAGGCTGTGACAGAGTGCTCAGCTGTGCCCCACTGATGGACACAGGGCAAAGCCCAGGGTGGAACAGGCAGCTGGGGTTGAGTCAGCAGCTCCTCAGGGAGATGCACCACCATCACCTCCTGCCCTTGCAGCACCCAGAGCAATAGCATTGCCTCTCTGACTGCACCAGAGAGGGGTGGAGGTGGCCACAGCCATGCCCCAGCCCAGTGCCCCCGCCTGCAGCACTTACACATCGCTCTTGGTGGTGTACACGCTGTAGTTGAGGGACTCGATGGCCATCCAGCGAACTGGCAAACGGCCCTGGGGAAAGAGAGAACCACCATCAGGGCTGGAGGGGTGCCTCCTGGGTGGAAGACAGCTGTGATCCAGCCAGTCCTGCCACGGTGGGTTGGTCACACTGATGGTGGGCATCCTGCCCACCACACTGGTGCAGGCCCCATGGAGATGTTTCATTCCTGGCTCACCATTGTCTTCTTCACATAGACCTCCTCCCCTCTGGAGAGACCAAAGTCAGCAATTTTGGAGGCCAGGTTTTCTCCCACCAGAATGTTTCTTGCTGCCAGGTCCCTGTGAATGAACTGAAAGGGAAGAGCAGTTAGCAGGAGCTACACGCTCCCTCCTGCTGGCCTCAGGGACCCCATGCCTCGATGGGGAACCCCCAGGCCTCAGGAAGAGGGTGATCTGAGGGGCTTGCTGGGATGTACCTGCTTCTCACTCAGGTACTGCATCCCCTTGGCCACATCTGAAGCAAACTGGAGGAGCTGCTGGGATGTGAGGGTGGAGGCAGTGCCGTGCTCCTTGGCAAAGGCTGGGTCTGTCTCCAAGACTCGGCTTTTGCGGAGGAAGTCGAGGAGGTTTCCATACGGAGCATACTCAATGGCGATGTACAGGTAGCCTGTGGGGCAGGACAAGGTTGGGCTACTGGGGCTCTCCCCAGCAAAAAGGAATAGACAGCTGGGCAGAGTTTGTGGGGAAGGGTAGAATGGGACAGCCCTCACCCTTGTTCTCACAGGCACCCAGCAAGTTGATGATGTTGGGGTGATGGCCCAGTTTGCACAGCACCTCCAGCTCCCCGGCAAAGTCCCGATGGTCATTCTCTGAAGCAAACTCTGGAAGAAAAGAAGGGATGAACACCTCAGGCCTACAACAGGGGCCTTTCCTCTGCTTCTCTGCAAATGACTCCTGATGCTCCCCAGCACAAGCATGGCCCAGGACACAGCTGCAGCAGTCAGCCCACCCTGTCTGCCTCCCCCAACACTTACCTTTCAGCATCTTGATGGCTGCATTCATTTTCAGTCCGTCCTTTTTGATCATGGCCCTGATTACCTGCCCAAAATTGCCCTCCCCAATCATATCCTCAAACTTGATGTCTTCCCATTCCAGGATGGGGTAGCTGAGGGGCTCAGGCTGCGGCTTGGGCCGGCGTGTCAGGGTCAGGGTCCCCGAGTTGAACTGTAGGATGGTCTCTTCCCCCTGGGAAAATGGAAGATGGTGAGGTTAGAGGCACCGGGCACCTGTCTGCCCATGCGGCAGTCCCAGCAGGACAGTGGTCATGAGCAAAGGTGGGCTCCGCACCCTCTCCGTGTGGAAGTGAGGTCTGGCTGCATCCGGACTGGAGGCTATGGAACGTGACCTGGATCGGGCTGGGATGTGGGGAGCAGGGGACACGGTCCTGGTGGGGCAGGCGGCACTCACCGAGCCAGACTGGTACGTAAAGGTGCGGCGCCGGTGGAAAAAATTCTTCTTGATGAGGAAAAGTGCCAGGAGAGCAAAGAGGATGGTGAAGCAAGTGACGGACACAGAGCCAACAATGGCCAAGAGCAGCTGCTGGTCTGTTCCCGCCTGCTCAGGGCTCTGGCTGCCCAGGCTGGGCGGCACGCTCAGCACTCCTGCCAAAAGGAGGGATGGAGGGTTGTGGACCATGGTCAAGCCCTGCCTGGCCTGCACTATTGACAGCATCTCTCCCCCATCACCAAGATCCCCAATGAAGATACTATAACCACATCCTGAGCTCCTGGTGCCACAGTGGCACAGAGGGGAAAGTGTCACAGCCCAGCTCCTGACACTGAACCACTGGTTTATGGACCTCCAGCCAGCTTTGGGTCAAGCCATGATCTCCTCCCATGCTGGCTCTGCTCTGCTCCCCCAACCCCTTGATTCACATCCTCCACTGCCCAACACAGAGTCACTCTGTAGGTACCATGATGTCATCATGCCACCCCTGCCCCTGTAGGACTAGGAGCAGGTTTTCTTAAGTCACCAAGAGTTTTGGTCTTGGGTTGCTGCTTCAGAGCCATGCTCAGAGGTTGCCATAAGCACCCCAATCATTTTTTGCTGACCGGAATCTGAGCCCAAGCTGCAGCAGAGCTGTGAGCCCCCTGCCTGCTGGGACACCCCTCTCACCATCCCCGAGGGTCTTGGCTTTCACGGGCAGGCTCCATTCCCCTGGAACATGGGAGTTGGCACGGACACGAAACTGGTAGCTGGTGCTGGAATTGAGGCCCCCAACGATCTTGGTGGTCTCGGCGCCGCTGTCGGTGTCAATCCACTGGGGTTCACTGGTGCCCCCCACCTGCTGCAGCTCCACGATGTACTTGGTGATGCCCCCGTTGGGGTACTCGGGCACCTGCCAGGAGAGCCTGACAGCCGTGTCGGACACGGGCTCTGCCGAGAGCAGCTGCGGGGAGGAGGGCCCTGGCACCAAGAAAGAAGAGTGTCAGTCTCAGAACTCCTCGTGCTGCCAGGGTTCAGTGCTGCTGTTAGGACTGGACCCTGTGGATGGCAATGGCAACCAGAGCCAGGTCAGCTTTGAGGGATCTTCAGGGACCCCTGGCCCCTGCTTGGAGGAGGTGAAGGTGCTGTCCATGTACTACAGTGAAGCAGGACTGTACTCACAAATGTTCCAGCCACGCCATCTGAGGTCTAGATGCCTGTGTATTGACTAGCTCTTGTGACATTTCTTCAGGCCTTCGTCACATACTCCTGCCTGCCCACATCCCTAACTCCAAATTCCCAAATCATACAAAGCTCTTACAAGCAGAGAGCTGAGGAAACCTCTCATCCCTCAAGCCTGATGCCTATCAGTCCTCTCCATGTGTACCCTACGGTGCCAAGCCCCGCCAAAGGCCTCATGCATGCCTTTCCCCTTGGTTGCCAGAAAGCTTGGTCAGGCTGGTGCTCCATGTCTGCATGGTCTTCTACCTGCTTCAGGGGCTGCATGTGTGTGTGCCCACAGGCAGGACTGCAGGGCCCTAGTGACCATGCAGCAAAATTACCTGGCAGCAGGGTTAAAGCAAACCAAAGGGAATTTTTTTTTTTTCCTGCAGAGTATAATTATATAGAGAAACTAGATGCTACAGGGTATTGTAAAGGCTGCAAGTATAGGCAGGTCCATCAGGGTTTGGGTAATGGTGCAG